AACCTTGCCCTCCTCATAGACTGACCCATAACGTCCAGCTCGACCAGCAATTTGCAACGCTGCATAGTTCGGAATCAGCTCACCATTCGGTGGTTTTATGACCGAATTGAATATCATTCTAAAGTTAATGAAAATAAAATAATAATAATTTTATTATCACTCGGAGCAAAAATTTCATAAGTCACAAAAAAGCTGATATTGTATTGAAGAGAGCATAACATTATCAGTACAAAACCATTCTATTCCCACTGCACCACATCCAATATTATTTGGAATCAATAAATCAAGCACTATATAAACGACTGATTCTAAACCTCCGTATGTTGAGATTCAAGCCCATTCCAACGGCATCCGTAGCGACGAGTACATTCGTTGAATTGTTCGGATCGTTGAATTTCGATGCTTGCGATAACTTTGTGCCAGGCGGTAGATCACCGTAGATCACTGCTGGCTTAATACCGATTTTTTCCAGTTGCTTTGTCACATTGAAGATGGCACGACGTGAAAAACACACTATACAATCGCCATCCTTCAATACGATTATCATTGTTATTATCTATTCCTTACAACTGCCACTTCTACCACTTCAAAACTTTTTTTACGCCGATTTCAAATGATATCCGAAAACAACTGCAATTTATGAACATTGAACTGACAAACAAAAAGGCAAATGGGTGAAATGATGACCTGGACATTATCCAAACTGCCCAAAGCGTGCGATGCCACTGATAGTGAAGTTTTACGTTTGTATTCATTTACTTCAACGTGCTCACCGATTGGATTCAGCAGTTCACGGACAATATTAATCGCTGACGGCTCACCACATAAATGCACCTTAACTATCATTCGGCTCACTTCAATCTCTTTCGTTAACAAAATGCAAAATTTCTTAAGCATTTTCATCAAATCTCTTCTATCGCAATCGCTCTCGAACTTTCAATTGTTCAGAAACAATGTTCTTTTACTGTTTTAATGAAAACAAACTGAATTGGTCACCTCCATGACCAGATCAT